GCATGAATTTAATATTTCATCATCAAAACCCATCAGGACTCATTTCTTGAGATCAGCTTTTTGTATTTTGTTGGGGTCAGGGGAGGCCAGACCCGGCACAGACACAACCACAGCACAGCACAGGTGAGCACCACAGCCCAGGACCAAGGCTTAAAGGCAGCCCCAGAGCACAGCAGAAGAAGTGTCCCATGAGGTTTCCCAAGGATATTCCCCAGGAGGCTGCCGAGGGTGCAGAGCCCAGGGAGGAGACCTGCTGTGACAGTCACAGCTTGGGTCTCCTCCAGAGATGCCCACCAGTGGCACCAGGATGGCTCCTGGGGGTGCTTCCATGGGTGGGCAATGATCTCCACTGGTGTTATTCTCCAAACCCCCCAATGCTTGGAGGAAAACTTCCTGCAGCAGCCCAGATACATCCTCCTCTAAACTTCAGGAAAAAAAGATTTATTTGAATAAAAACGTCTTTAGAAACCAAACCATGACTATTAAAATACATATGTGTGTGTGTGTGTCTGTGTGTGTGTGTGTATCTGTGTGTGTGTTGCCAAGAGAAAACCCAGAAATTGCAGTGTGGGTTATAAATATGAGATCAAGGTTGTTAAAACAAGCATTTGCCCCAGTACTTGGGAGTCAACCTGCTAGCCACCCTGGTTCTGGCCATGCAGATACAGCAGTATAAGAACATCCCAGTGACATTTTGTGAATAGTATGGGCCAACATGGGAAGCTGATTTCTTTGCTCATGTGTAGCAGAGTTCTCATTCCAAATGCATCATGTGCTAGGGGATGCTGTAACCCCTCCTTGTACATGATGCTCTACTAATTGGGCAGGTACCCAATGTTGTGGAAAATGAGGAATTAGATTACTCATGAATCACATGCAGCCAACTTAAAATTCAAGCTTCATCAAGTCTGCTTGGAACTGACTTACAGTAGTGTTTTGGAAGCATGGTTGCATTTGGGTGGTGTGAAATAAATAGGAAACTGGGACGGAGAGCTTGAAGAAGTGATATTGGGTCTTAGGGGAATAAACAAAACAAGGAGAACGTTTCTTGCATTCCTGGGATTATTTATGCATGGCTGCTGCTTACTGAGACTATCTTCAGAGTCTGTTGCTGGTTCTGAGAGGCAACGGACCATGCAAGGGCAGCTATTCCACAAAGCTGTCACATCCAGGACTGTGCTGTGTGACTGATGAGCAGGTACTCATGTGGAAGCAGGAATTAAATCCAGATGTTTAATTTGTTTAAAATCAAAGAGAATAATTCAAACCATGAATTCTGTGAAGGAAATGGAAATTATGTCAAGAAATCGTCATTTATCAGCAGATAAATAAAGATGGTTTGTCAGCCTGGGGAAAACAGCACAACTTATTGTTAGCTGTCAAACAGCAAGCAGTACAGGCTAGATTTGTGTCCTTAGCTGCTAAATAATTATTTAGGGTCCTGAACAGCCTTGTGTCCCCTTAAAGTAAAGCAGAGTGCTGCTGGTAATGCTGGGTGATCAGAGCTGACCTGCTGGGATCATACTGCCAGCATGCAATGACATGACATTGCTCTACGGGGCAAACACTGCAGCAGTAGTCTTTGTATAAAATATCTTCTTTATGGGCAAATTTTCACAGATCTGCATTCCCTATCATCTATAACACCTACTAGTTTGCTGAAGAAGCCTCTGCAAACTAACAAACCTTTCAGGCTGATCCCCAATTACGGCTGCAGGGATAGTCAGCTCCCTGGGCAGAGTTAGGTGAGAGACCACTTCTTTAGGGCAGCATTGCTGAGGGCACCCTCCACCTTATGCAGCCCTAACCCATCTGACATGACCTCAGGATACAACCCAGCCACTCTGCTGTCAAAGTGCTATTGTGGCATGCAACAACATAAGCCCATCACTGTGTTGGGCACTAAGAAGGTTTCTGCCAAAATGCCCAGAATAGCAGGCAAGAGATGAACTGATTTGTGAAAAACATCCTGCTGATATTGAAGCTTTAACATGGAAGGAACATTTTCCCAACCTGATTTTTTTTGTCTAAAAGAGCTGCCAGGTTGTAATTTGTTATAATTAAACCAGATGAGGCTGATACTGGAAGGAGGCAAGCCAATTAGTTTGGGATGTCAATTTTTGTTTTCCACTGTCAAAGTCTGTTAAAGGACCTTGATAGATTGCTGGGTTGGCCTTTTCAACCTGCTAATCCCCACATGAAATACAGGCAGGCAGCTGGGTGCAGAGAAGCACGTTGCAGTGTGTTGAGAAAAAGGTTGCATCTGCCAGCATTGGAGGTGATGGTGGGGTTGCAATGCCTGAGCTGTGGAAAACTGGAGGAAGAGATGAAACTCAGGATCCAAACATGGAGAAGACTCTTGCGTGGCAGATGTGAATGAAGAAAGCCTGCACTTGAAGTTGTTTGGGTTTAAATCTGCGATTTATTTGGTGCAGAACTACAGGTTTTTAGTGACCTAATTATGCGTTCTCAGGTTTTAAATAAAAAAATTTAGTACTGTCTCATGCTAACCAGCAACCAGATACCCTAGCTTCAAATTCCAATTTATAATAGTAAATACCATTGTCTTAAACACAGAATCAAATAGGTTGGAACAGACCTCTGAGATCATTGGGTCCAAATGTGACCAAACACCATCATGTGAACTAGAGCAAGGCATTGAGTGCCACATGCAGCCCTTCCTCAAACACTTCCATGGACGGTGACTCCACCACCTCCCTGGCCAGCCCATTCCAATGTCTTATCCCCCTTTCTCTAACGGAATTATTCCTGATGTCCAGCCTAAACCTCCCCTGGTGCGGTTTAAGACTATACTCTCTCATCCCACCTCTAGCTGCCTAGAAGAAGAGGCTGAACCCCCTTTGGCTACAGCCTCCTTTCAGGGAGTTATAGTGAGTCATAAGATCACCCCTGAGCCTCCTTTTCTTCCACCTAAACAACCCCAGCTCCCTCAGATGCTCCTCAAAGACTTGTGCTCCAGACCTCTCACCAGCTTTGTGGCCCTTTCCTGGACAACGTCACCTGCACTCCTGAAAGCAGTTATTGGACAAAACCAGGCATCAATTCCCATGGGTTTAATTGAGAGAGCTCTATTGAATATTATCTATAATAGACAATATTGTATCTTATAATAATATAAATAATCTATAATATCATACCTTAGCACTAAAAAAACACCGATCAAAGCTGTCTTTCATTTTAGACAGTTCCTTCAGATCAAAATTGAATTTCAAAAACCTTCAAATTTTATGTAAAAAAATCTCTATGGGTATGAAAGAGTCCAACCAATAATTCCACAAATTGTAAGATATAATCATGGTATGTCTGTCACCGCACCAGGCAAAAATCTGTTAATTTCTTGCTACAGTTTTTGTTTTCAGATCCTCAAGACATCATCCACTCTTTTAAGAAACTGGTTCAGTTTCCTGGCTCAGTCCTTAGTGAACATGTAGTGCCATATTTCTGCAGACTCATCCCTACTTTTACTGTCACCTAAAGTACTGTGGCAAATCTGATTCTCTAAAAAACTGGAATTAAACAGAAACTTGGGAAAAGGAAAAAAGTCTAAAAGTTTGAAGGACAGATCTTCAGCTGCCCTAAAATGTAACAGTATGACTCATTAATGTCACCAGAACAGTTTGCAGCAACTGATAATCTCCAAGATTTTAAGATTGTCAGCAAATTCTGTTTTGTAGTACAAACCTAGTCATTTCCTAAAATTGCATGGTTCAGTTAAGCTTAAGAAAACTATTTAAGTTTATTTAGAGAGTCAACACTTATTTCCTACATAGCTGGCTGATCTGGGACTCACCTAACACCTTACTGAGAGTATGTTTTGCAAAAATAAAGGAACTACTCAAGGCTTCCTACAAAAATGTTCATCAATATGTCCTACTGTGTTACAGGACACAGCAATTAACAGTCAAATGCATTTATTATTCTCAAGATTTGTTACCCCAACACATACAGGTTGATCAATATTATTTTGGGTGTCTCAGTTTAGAAAAGAATGACAGTTTCCTTTGGCATTTCAGTCTGCATTTGGCTGGTCCTAATGAAGACAAATTCTTCTCAATCAGGATTGTTCTGTTTGTTAAGTGAGACAGATGGCACACTCACTGTATTGGTAATGATTCTGAGATTTTAAGTGTATTAGTGATAGATATTTCAAATGGAAGAGAACTCAGGTTCTGTCTTTGCAGAATTTTTGTGATTGTACTGAAGGACCTACAGAAAGACACTTTTTAGACATATTCAGACAAATCTGTAGAACATGGTCCAGGAGACATGCCTTGGCAGAAAATCAAACACACACTTCCAAACCCCTGCCAGAATTGTGTGTTGAGCCTGTGCCATCAATGGGGGTTTGTAGCATTCATTCCTGTTCTTCCCACCTGGTCCTGAGGGCAGCACTGGGTTCAGCTGAAGGCTTTTATTTGAGGTATATCCAGCCCAAGGAACACTAAAGAAGGGTTTTTCTCCAGTTGCCATTTCTTTTTGACTTTGTCTTAATACTTACATCATACTCAGTTTCAGGAAGAGTTAACCAAAGTTCAGCTTGCGTTTTCTCCAGAGTCAGTGAGGTCTTTAAATTAACCAGCTGGAAAGCAGGGGGATGAACTACAACACCCTTGTCACCTGAAAATATTAGACTCTCCTTCCACTGCATTTATCAGCAACCCCAATAGCTTCATATTGGTAAATTACACTGATTTTAGGAGGGAAAGAATCAAGACATGTTCTCTTATAGCTCCCTCCTGCTCAGGGAGGAAAAATACACAATAGAAGACTGAAAATTCAGGACCTTTTGATTCAGAATTTTGTTTAGAACAGCTGAAGATTTCTTAGGGAAACTATGGAGGAACTTTGTGGGCATCCGTTCAGCCTCTGGTGCAGAGGTAGAGAAATACACATCAGAAGGACCAGCCTTCCTGGCTGTCCCACCAATGAAATGTTTAAGTGAGAAAAGCGCAAAACCACAGACTCAAACCCTCCTGATGTTTCTGCTCAGTGTTGAGGCACATAGGCTCTGTAGAGAGACAAGACTCTCTGGGGCATAGAAATCTACACAGCACTTTATACTGTAATTAAGATGAAAGAAGCAAAGTGTTCTGTTAAAAAGACTGCCAGCTCTCCAGAGAAAATAGCTTTGTGTATCACTTTATGCTAGTGGTGACAGAATAGAAAACAAAATACCACAGTTACATACATGTTCTTTGTCTAGAAGTATTTACAAATAACTTTACAAATTTTTACAGGCATTTTTCAGTTTTGCTTGTTTACTTTTAAATTAAGAGAAAATTAGTCCCCAGAGGCTTCTAAGGCTTCAGTTGGTGCCTTGTACTGTACATTCATGCTTGGCTTCTTCCTGGGAGAAGGGAAGGAAGGAGTTTAAAAATGTGCAAATCACAGACATCTAAACAGCCCTGGGTGTAAGGGTTCCTAGAGAAGGACATCCATTGAGCAGTCATCCTACTTTTCTTCAAATCAGAGACAGCTACTCGAGATGGGGCAAAAGAGATTAGGAAAGGAGGAGTCATATATGAATTGTAATAATTAGGTGAGTACATTAGTGCTTGAACATCTGGGTAAGAAGAGTCATACATCAATCCCTGCTGCATTCAGCAGTTCAAAAATGCAAGGAGTGGACATTGCGAATTCTAAAGACAGCACTGAAATGATCTCTTGATCACTGTTAGGGTTTGACTCCTGCTGCGTATTTTGGAGTCAAAATTACTGTTTACTGACACAGTCTTGACCAGGCACAGTATGATCCTCTCAGGCAAAAACTACTGAACTTTTGAGAAAGACGCACCCCCCTCCTAGTTTTCACAGGTTGTTTTGTTTTCATGCCTCAACACTAAACATTGTAAAAATACTGAAATTAAAAAAGAAAAAAATTTACAATTTACAAGTGTCCATATAAGTAAATTATTTAAAAATTCAAGATCATCTACAAGGATCTACGAAATAACAACGCTGATAATGACACTGAGCCTGTGGGAAGAAAAATCCACATGCTGTGAGGAACAGATGTGGTGGGTTTCTTCCTGAATGATGATTCACAAGGTTGGTCTTTTTTTCTAAAATCTGTTTCTTCAGCTACAGCAGCAGAAGTCTTGTGTCCATGTTCATTACTTACTTCGACCTAAAAAGAAGGATATAAGAATTAGTCACAAATGAAAATTTATTTTGTGTATCTTCTAATTTATAAGCTGTGAATTCGTGCAAGTTGAGAGGTTAGTAACAAATGAACAAGTGGATAAATCTCAAGTGGTCAATAATTTCATCAGCTGTGAGACTCACCTATGTGGTCAAGAGTAAATGGCTGGATACAAAGCAGTAGCTTTGTATTATGCATACCACAAAATCAGAAAACATTTGGGAGAAGTCCAATAGCTGGTAAAGCATATCTGAAGCTCATACAATATATGTCATTGATATACATTATATATGATATGTTATATATATATGATATTATATATACACACTTATTCATTTTACCATAATATATTTCAACAGCATGAGGCATATTTTCACCCAGTTATAAAATTCTGATGTGATCTGATCACAAACATGAGCACTTGAGCAGGACTCACGCTATTTATAGTCCTCACCACAGTGACACATCTGCTGAATCTATGTGTTCTCACATGACTACCTGTAACCATTTTCACTTGTGTAATCTTGGAAGCTCTATGTTGGTCTTTCAGAGCAATTTACAGGTGGATAACGTCTCAGGAGAAGATACAAACAGGACAGGATCACACAGATGCATCACAGAGTAGTGACCTCTCCACTGGCACTGTTTCTCATACAGTGGATCAACTCCACAAGGACAAATTAGTATTGTTCTTAAAAAGACTAGGGACATCCCTAACTGGAATTAGGGATTCAGTGTCTGACCAAATAGAGTTGCTCAAAGCTGTCGCCGTTTTATTTTATTTTATTTTATTTTATTTTATTTTATTTTATTACTACTATTACAATTATAATTAAAAATTTCATTACTATATTAGTACACATTGTTCTTATTACATAATGATTATGATATTACCTTATTAACATCTATTATAATATAATTATTATTATTAATAATAACCTCTAATGCAAGCCAAAATGTAGCTTCATGTTTTTTCCTGCTAGCCACCATGCTCCTCTTTTTTCCACACATCAGTACATGAGGAGTTCCTAAATATTACTGAGCAACCTGGCACCTGATACTGTGATTCCAACAGGCACAACAGTCTTCTCCACAGCCCATATGCCTTAGTCCCAAAGGACACAACACAATGATATCCTTTCTTCTCCCCCTGCTGTCTCCTGCCTTACACACACCTTAATTGAAACTGCATGGCTGAGGGCAAAGATCCTGCTCCTCCTTGTCCCAAAGCCAAATGGAGTTACAGGCAGAACAAAGAGCAAACGGGCAAGCCATGATCATTCGTGTTTGGATTAAAAATTGCTCCCCATAGGAACAAGTTCAAATTTAACTTCTTCTCAGAGGTGAGAAAGAGAACTAATCTTAGTCTTGCTAATCATTAATAATTATGGTAGCACTAAGCAGACATTATACTGAATGTGAGCACTTGATAAAAGCAGACTGTCTTCTGCATAGCTTGGATGAGACCACACAGCCTTGTATTTTCAGTGGGCTGTGTTTAGTTAATTTTTGAATAAAATAAGGGAAATAAAAGGGATGAGAAAAATGGAAATATAACCAAGCTTTCATCTATAAAGTAACATTTATAAAGGCTTCTCATGTATTTTTACAAGCATAATTCATGTGAATTTCTAAGAGAATTCTAACTCTCAGAAATGGAGTTTTGCACAGCCTAGACACCAGAAGTCACTTTTTAGAGATACTAAGAATTTTCAGACTGTATATAACAGATACATACAGCAATTAACTTATCAAAAGGAGTCAAGAGGGCTAACATGCTGCAGAGGAATAAGCATCTGCAAAGTTCTGGCACAATCCACTGACCAAATTATTTCTAGCAATTTGGCTTTTAACTCAGACTTTGATCAGTGACATAATTTCCCTCCCAGCTTAGATAAAGGTCCTCTATATCTTTCAGTACATACAACCAAAACATCAATAAAAAAGGAAACCCACTATAATTTCTGTCCCAGTTTTATACTCCTTGAAGAAATAAAGAGGCCAGAGAGGCCCTCCCAGCAGTACAAGGATACTTTCCATAGGAAATGGAAAGATAACTCTCATTCTCCAGTGTTGTAAGATCACCAACAGCCTCCAAATCCCCTGAGCTACTCAATGAAAATCTCCTATCAAGAACAAATTATCAGGTGCTGTGACTTTTCTAGTGCAAAATAAGTGAATATGTTTTGCAGGAATGTATTTGTAAGTTTTTCATGAATATATCTTTTATTTTCTTCTTTAATTACAGTAGGTTTGCTAAGAAAGTATTAAACATTTATGCACTTGATGCTTAAAGCTAGTCTGAATGCAGGTTTAGAGATTAAAATCTTTTATCGAGAGGTGTAAATGCTGCAGGTGTGGCCTTCTTGCTCCTGAATATCAATTTAACTTTATAGTCCAGCAGCTTATTCAGAAGGTTCAAACCCCCATTTTGTAGTCATCTTTCTCATAGAAAATGCAGCAAAATAAACATTTAATGAAATATTACTGAAGAGATGCAGACTTCAACGTAGACTAGCATGTACTTAGTCAAAAGTCAGAAGGTACATTACTTCATTTAGTTGTCTTAATGTGTTATTTGCTCCTGTTCTAGTATACATCATAAATTTGGGCCATCATATTCTATAATGTTTAGATAAATTTTTAGTAAAAATTTGTCTCTGCTTATTTCTACAAATTGAAAGCTGCATCATGAATAAAATATATCATAAAACCCTGCAAAAATTAATAAAGTCACAAAGTTCAGGTCTCAAGTTCCAACCCCAGACATTTTTTTAGCAATTGTCCATTTTAAATTAAAACTCCTAGCACGTGCACAAATGCATACAGCAGGAAAAACCTTCAACCCATTCTAATTCTGTTAACTGATAAGTAAAATAGAGTCATTAAATCAGTTTCAGTCAATTAGCTGTATGTGCATTTCATGCTGCATTTAAGAAGCATGAAAGCCCCAAAGGTAAATTTAAAGACAGAGAGCAACACCACAACAAGTTCCAGCCATAAAGAATTTCCAAATTAACAACTTCTGGTTTAGGAATTATACTTTTAAAAGCCATATACTGAAGTTATATGAGCTTCTGCCAAAATACAGATAGTAGTAATGTCACCCCATATCCTAATTTTTTCCAGATAAAAAGAATAGATATGCATTCAAACTTATTCATTAGGTAGCAAAGCAGGAAGAGTCTATGAAAATTATTTGTATGGTTCAAGCAAATAAGTGATGACAAAGAGACAACTTCCAGTGAAATTCTACACACAGATTTTAAGCTGACAAGTGGTTTTTCAGCAAAACTTTTTGTTTCAGTAGCTGGACAAATGTAAAAACTACTGCTTTTCTATAAATGGGTTAATCGCATTAAGGTTTCTGCAGCTGCAGAATCTCTAAAAGAGCTTTTTTCTTGCTAAAAATTCAGCAGGGAAGCAATTCCATCCTTCAGTGAGAGCCTCTCCTTGCGTTAAGATGAGGCCCGGCGTGGCAGACATGGTGATATCTCCTAATCCTCGTTTTAGCAGATACCCCATCAATGACAAAGTGTCCTTACTCCAATGTGTTCTGTAGATTAATTTTTAATTAAGTTCTAATTAAACTGTAATTAAATTATCAGTAATCTGCTGCCCAAATTATTTCAGGAGAAGGTTAGCTTTCAGTTCAGTTCAGTTCAGTTAGAAGGATGAATGTGGTCCGTGGGACCAGAACCTTACCTACAGGCTTTACAGGCTTTAACTCAACATGTTCCTGGGGGGGCTGTCGGTAGGAGTATGTGTCAAGTCCGCCTATGAAATCAACTGAAAATACAACAGTTCCAGAAATGAACAAATGGAAACGAAAATATGCCAACTGAAAAAAAATGTGGACAAATTATGTTTAAAAAAAAAAAACCCAAACATTCATGCACAGGTTTGCATACAAGAAACAAAGCAAGTAGATAAGGATGCTGTGGAAACTGCTTACAAAAGGTTCCATGCTCTGTCTTCCTTGGGGTCTGTTTAGCCCCATGCCTGGAAAGACAGGCAGCATTTGGATGGGCAGACATACACACTCCTGCCAGTGTGTGTGCAAAAGGAGCACTCATGGATGGGCAGAGCATGCAAAGAGAAACCACTGTGGGCTAAAATAGCTGATTCTCTTTAGGGAAATATCAGTGTGTGTGTGTGTGCACATATATATATATATATATATATATATATATATATATATATATATATATATAAAATTTAATAATTCCCCTCAAACTCCTTTTTAAGTGTTTAGAAATTTAGGCAATGGAAACAGTTTAGCCTGTGAACCTAATTTTACCTAAACTCTTCAGGCTCAATGGACTTGTAGAAAAGCATAAATAAAAACCAAAGGCATGAGAGCTGAGTTAAGAGCAAACTAGTGATCACTAAATACGAAAAAGTAGCAGCATTTTCTCTGGATGAACTTGTAGGGTCAGGACACCTTTTCAGAATCCTCCTACTTTCTATGTCAGAAATAATGTGCTCTTGAGAAGTTTTTAGTCCCTTCTATGGTGATAATGATTTTTAAAAAAGACATTTTAGTCTGAGGCTTGTATTTTGTTATTTTGATAAGATTTTAAGCAGCTCCAATAGGCCAAAATTTCATTCTATCCTAGAAATCTTAAAAGCAGGTTTGTGAAAAAGACTATTCTATTGATTTCAAAGGGTCTTTTGCAGACATGTCCAGAGCTGGCAAATCCACAGTACAATAGGATTCTTTGGTCGCATGAAAAGCAACTGCCTTCACTTGTTACATATATGTGCACAGACAAAAGTCCTGAGCAGAATTTTGATACTCATTATGCTAATTGCTGAATGAGCAATGAATGACAAAACTGTCCTTTCCCAGCCAATGTGTGCACTAGGTAAACCAACAGAGTGCTTATCCAGGGTGAGACAATGGGAAAATGAAGCTTAGAGATTGACAGACTAATGAAATACCCACTGAAATTTGTGGAAATGCTCCTGTTGATTTCAGTTTGCTTCTCCTCCTGAGTTCAGAAATGGCTGAAAACAGAACTTGATCATACTGAACTGAACTTCAATCATACAGCATTACTGCTTCCCCAAGACTGTTCTCTTAAAACTGTCTGAGCAGGACATAATGTGCTGAAGATCTTGCCCAGCCCCAGTGCCTGCCCCAGCCTATCTGCACCTCCTCTTTCTACTGTATTTCTTTCATGTCACAGCTCTCCTTCAGAATGTTATTACTATATGCTGTAACAAGCATCAAAATTTACTTCAGCACTAGTGGGCTCAAATCCTTACAGAGGAAATAGCTGCAGATGAACTGTTGTAAAAGTTGATTTTTAAACCACGGAATCACAGAATGGTTTGGGTTCATCTAGTTCCAGCCCCTCTGCCACAGACAGGGGCACCTTCCACTAGAGCAGGCTACTCATCCAACCTGGCCTCGAACACTTCCAGGGATGGGGCATCCAACTTCTCTGGACAATCTGCTTCAATTTTACAATAAAGAATTTCTTCTTAAGATCTACTCTAAACCTACTCTCAGTTTGAAGCCATTCCTTCTCATCCTGTCAGTACATGCTCTTGTAAAAAAGTCCCTCTCCAACTTTGTTTTAGGCTCCCTCCAGGTACTAGAAGGCCACAGTTAGGACACCCCAAAGCCTTCTCTTCTCCTGGCTGGAAAATCCCAATTCTCTCAGCCTTTCCTTATAAGAGAGGTGCTCCATCCCTCTAATCTACTTGGTGTCCCTCCTCTGGACATGCTTTAACAGATCAATCTCCTTCATTTGCTGGGAACCTCAGAGCAAAATGTTAGATGTCTAACACATTACACATTTACTAAATAATTTTTAGAAGAAATCAAGTCCACAGCGTGGTTTTTTTTTTTTGTTTCATTGGGTCTTTTTTTTTTTTTTTTTTTTTTTTTTTTAATTGAGCACATGTTAACCCAAGGAGCAAAAAGAATGTTTTTGAAGCAATTCACCACTTCAGAACCTCACATCATTTGTCTCAGCAATCACAAGCATTATCTGCAATCGTAAGCAGGGAGGGAATTTAAAGTAACTAGCCTTTCTACCAACAAGTCTTTTTGAGCAAGAAATGAAGTTGAGATGTATTAATGATTGACAACATAGATGTGTCTTTATTCTGACAAGGAGAATACATTTAATAGCACCATCCAGCAATTGTTGAGATGAGCTGCTCAAGCCTGTTTAGCTGAGGCTTTCTCTTTTGCAATTCAAGATATCTTATGCAGTATTAAAGCTGAAGTTCACCTTAAAATTTATGTGAAGCTCATTCTCAAGGCAAGAAGCTGTTCCATCACACAAGGCAATGGAATGTGCCATTTTTCATTATGCACTCTATTTTATGGCTTTTTAATATGAAGATTCATCATCAGTTATTTGAATTATAGGTTACTTCTAGTTCTAAAAATTAATTTTGATTTTAACCTGGTATTTTCATTCCTTATAATTAGTAGTCTTCCTGGACTAAGACCACAAGTGGCCATTAAACATAGAAAATTTAATTTTTGTTTTCATTGGAGGCACCGAAATTATTATGTACATTTCAGTGTAAGCAGGCATCAAACATCTTAAAACTTTACATTGAATGAAATTTTGGATGCATACAAACCTCTGTTGAATTGGCCAACAGTAAATAACAGCAACATTTATGTAGAGGAAAACATTGGTTTAGGGATGGTATAAAATAATTGGTTTTGTTTATTTCTGCCTGGTTAATGGATTATGGATAATTTCTGCCATAGATTCACAGGACTACATTAAATAGCTTCAGAAAGTTGCATAAGCTTGGAGGAAAGTTCAATTAAAAAAATGTGTTCTATACAGTTCTATAGAACTATGCTTTAAATTTAAAAAAATAACCCGAACCAAACCAACAACCACAACTTGTCAGCAGTAGGGATATTCAGTCACTAAATAACAAACACCCCATGCAGTCCAGTCATTAACTACAGTCATAAAGAGAGAAACTTAAAATCCCAGGGAGAGGATTTTTTAGCATCCCACAGATAATAGCAGGTTACAGCAGAAGCTGGTTATTTTATCTGCAGCTGGCTGCAAAACACGATCCCTATGCCCAGGGAATTGCTCTCTCCTTGTGTCACCTCAGTTTTGTGGTCATGCTGGATGCTTAATGGCCAGTGTGAAATGTTCCTTTAGAGTTCACTACCTGCTGTGCTTGGAAGTGCAAATCTGTGCTGGCTGTCCACCGCAGGCAGTCCATTAAAGTGATGTTCATTCATTCAGGGGCCATATCAGAGCCACGGCTGTCATAATCTGCCTGAGTGAGAAAAGGGCAGGATGCTGCTGGCTGAAGAAAGTGTATCCACTGTCATCAGTAATTTTGAGGGTTATTCTTTTCTAGACAGATGACATTTCGGGTTGCCATACTACTATTTATCCAGTGCATTCACCCATATGCAAGTTAAAATTTGCTTTCCTTTGAAGTTAGTGTAAAAGAATCAGAGCTCAGAAAAAAACAATCCTTTCTCCTTTTTCACCCTCTCATCTGGAATTCAGCTTCTCTGGCAATATCCCATTGACCTGCTGGCAGGCCCTGTGCATACAGCTGCCAGAGCTTGTCAGCTCATTGGTATATTACTAATTTCTTGTTTCAAAGTTGGAAAATTCTAAGCATGTCTGGAGGTGCAGGGTATGAACCGACAAGCAATATGGCAATAGCACAGTTCTTGGGAGATCCTGCAGTCTCTTAGCCTGGAACACCTTATATTCTATTCATGCTTGCTTCCCCATTTTATAAATGGGAGTAAGCCCCAAAGCTGATGGCTTGAATGTTTGGCACCAATGGTTGGCTGTTCCCTTTCCAAGAGAGAGGCAGGCAAGGCTAGCAGGTGTTCAAACTTGTATTTTTGTGGAAAGAAGATTTTCTTAACCTCTGGGGTTCCAAATACTATTTTGAACTGAAGTATTTTCCTTGTACTGAGATTTTTTTTCTTGAATGACAACATATCAATGCAATTACATTCATTAAGAAAAGACATGCAACTGAGGAGGGTGTAACTAGCAGAAAAAGGAACAAAAATCAATTAGGAACAGGAAGCAAAACTGGGGGATTGATGATAAGTCAGTGCTACATGCACGAAATCCAAACTTTGGACTTTCCAATGTTTGCGCTGGTAGCTTACATAAACTTTCCAGACAAGCATGGGTTTTTTCCTGAAAAAACTGCTTTTTCAATTGCCTTTCCTCCTCAAGAGATCCACTGCCCTTACACCCTTCCCTGCACAATCCAGACTGACCTAGCTATGTGTCTGGAGCCAACATTACCCATTTTCCCCTCTTCATACTAAGCCTGAGCACCCAAGTCTCAAGCCGTGTAGCAGAAGAATCACAGATTCCATTGCAGGATTGCAGGAATAGCATCTCACTTATGTAGAGGACTAAAGGAGGGAAAATGTGTGCAGGACAATTAAGAAAGTGAGAAGAAGAGACATCAGTAATCCTTTGTGGCACTCTGATTGCTCCTCTGTCTCTATAAAGTACTGGCAGATGGTAATCAGGTTAAAGCAGGACAAAGTGGTAGAAAATTACTGAGACAACCTTTTACTTAAGTTTTTATTACTGGAAGCTGGAAGGGGAATATTTCAATGTTCCACAGTAATTATTGAGATATTCGCACCAGATTTTCTTAGTCTCCACCAGTGGGATAGATCATAATTTTAAAAACTGCTCTACCTTGTAACATGTAAGTACCACACTTCTCTGCAGGGCTGCACTGAAAGAAGGATCCTCTCAGAAGCTGCTTTAGAAAGGGCACTGGCATGGAAATTT